GTTCAAGGTGAAAAACATTTAACACTTATCTTGCTACTGGCAAATTCACTATATATACTGATCACAAAGCATTGACATATCTCATGAACCAGAAGGCAAATACAGGTAAACTTACAAGATGGGCAATGGATTTGCAGCATTACAACTTTGAGATTAAGTATAGGAAAGGTTGTAACAATCAAGTAGCTGATGCTCTCAGTAGACGCTCATATCCTGAACAGCCTGACGATGAAAATGAAATCGCAGCTGTAAAGGTATCTGAAGTGAATACTAGAACAGAAGCTAGTGGCAATGATAAGACTTCTGAGAGTATCCAAGTGGAATTCTTTTATGATGATTACACTATGGTTGCTCCATTAGATCCCGTTATTGCCAGACCAGAATTGTCAAACCTTCCTGCTATTGCAAAGTTGCAACAAAATTGTCATGATTTTGGAAATATGTACAGATTTCTTACTCAGGGTATTCTTCCTGCAGACAATGATCAGAGTTCAAAAGTTCAAAAATCTGCTCAAGATTACTCCATCTGTAATAATGTTCTGTATAAGTGGTTTCAGAAGAGAGTCAGAGTTGACAATGGTGAAAAGTGGATCAAACAATTATGTCTCCCTCAAGCTCTAAGAGAGGATGCTCTTTTAAGTTACCATGACAGTTTTGTAGGTGGTGCACATCTTGGGATTGAACGTGTTTATCATGCTTTGAGTCTTAAGTACTTTTGGCCTAAAATGCACCAAAGTATTGAAAACTACATTCGATCATGTGATCGCTGTCAGAGAATTAAAAGAGATACAAAGGGTAAGAAACCACCTCTTAATCCTCTGCCAGTTGACACAACCTTTGAAAGATGGCATATGGATTTTCTGAAACTTAGTAAAACTAATGAAGGTTATTCTTATGTATTGTTACTAGTAGATTCTTTTTCAAAATGGAGTGAGGCCTTTCCTATGAAAACTCAAGAAGCTTCTGAGGTTGCAAAGGTTTTATTTCGTGAGATTATTAGTCGTTACGGTGCAATGAAGTGTCTAGTTACAGATCTTGGTCGGAATTTTGTATCTAATCTGGTGAATGCTTTGTGTGAAATGTTGAATATTACAAGGCATCATACAAGTTCATACCATCCTCAGACAAACGGATTAGTGGAAAGGACCAATAGCACATTGATACAGGCAGTCAGAGCTTATAGTGATAAGGATCAGAACAATTGGCCAAATAAACTCCCTGGTATTTTAATGGCTTTTAGAAATTCTCCATCAACTCAATCAACAGAGTATTCTCCCTTCTCAATGGTGTTCGGCAAGGAGATGAACTTCCCTTTTGACGCATCTGTTTTGCCAAAAGACAATCTGTCAAAAGATGCAAAACACCATTTAGAAGAAATAATTTCAAACCTCAAAATTACCCAAGATTTGGCTGCTGAAAATATTAAGCTTAAACAAGCAAAAATGAAAGAACGATACGACAAAAATACCAAAATTCCTGAATTTAGGCTTAGAGATAAAGTTTTACTTAAAGAACATGTCGTCCCTGTCGGTCGTTCACCAAAATTAGTTGATAAATATAATGGTCCTTATTACATAACTGACTGTGGGCCGAATTTTACATATAAATTAAGACGCTGCAATGACCAAAAGGAACTTAAAGCTATGGTCAATGCGAGCAATCTTAGGCAATATGTAGATCCCACTGACTACCGTGATCCGCCACAAGCGCCAGAACGTCATATTCCAGATGATGCTCCTGGAGAACAAAATAATCCACCTGCAGATAATGATCAAGATGATCAAATTGCAGAAAATGAGAGTTCAGATTCAGAAACTGACAGTGATAATGGAGATGAACCAAACAATGTTATTGATGATACGTTTCATGAGGTTGAGAAACTACTAAATAACAGGAATACAAGAGGTATACAATATTTTCTTGTAAAATGGAAAGATGGTTCCAAACCGACATGGGAACCAAAGCAGAATATTGGAGAGGTCTTGATACAAGAATATTTTACAAGGAAAACTAAGAAAGGAAGGAGGAGAAAACAGAGGAAATATTTTACGAGGCTATAGGTGAAAACAAATTACTGTATAAATTTCATTGGAATAACACAGATAAAGCTTTAATGGCGAATAACTCACTTACATTCAAATAATCTGGATTGTACTCCAGTTTCGAATCTGCGCAGTGGACCATTCTTTAATTATTTGACCCTTTGATTAACTTTTTTTCTAATTTCAGAAATTTGATAGGCAAATTATGATGTGAAGTCAAACCTAACAGAATGCATCAGTGTTTTGTTGTCAGTAGTGCTAGAGTACGGCCGTGCTCATTCGACTAATCATCACTTTTTTTTTATTTTAGCAACTGAGTGTCCTAAGAAACTAGAATCCATTCCAATATTATAGTTGTGTATGATGAAGTTAAGTGTTCAGTGAAATGTTACCGAGAGCCAAAGTGGAGGAGTTTAAAGCGTATTAATGTTTAGTTTATTTCTTTTTGTAGGATTTTGAACACAGATATATTTAACATGTTAAACATATTTCTAGATTACATTATACCATAGAGATTGCACATCATGAGATTGCAGATCATGCGCTTGCAAGAATTGAGCATGCAATGAAATGAAAAGTTCATTTTCATGTTCTATATTTGAATTTTATATTATTATATTGTCTTATTAATATGAAAATGTATTGGTATTTTGACTTTTCTGTTGCACTAGCACCTGGTTTACTTGATTTTTCATTATTGGAAAACTGCATCAGTATTATTTTAAAACACACATATTTAAGTGTGAAGTGTTAATATCCCTCCTCATATAAGAAAAATGACAATACTAATTGAATGCATATTTGCAAACATGCAATACCTCAGTGCCTCCCCGTTACAAATATATTAACATACACCCTTTGAAATTTTGGAAGTGTCTTATTGAATATCTGCAATTATGACCATATACATTTTGTTTTTGATTCTTAATTTAATTTAAGTATTTTATGGGCATTAGATCACAAAACTACATTCACATAAATGTGATATATAAACATTGACTCTATATGAAAATTTACATTATGTTTATCATACTTTAATTCTTTGTACATGTATATATATATAATTATTATTCTTATTTTATCAGTTCAGATGATGTTTCAAATTCAAGCTTTGGGACAAAGCTTAGTGAGGTTGAGGAAGAGTTGTTATAGTAAAATTATGAATTGCCAAAGACAAAATTTTAATATAACAGACCAAAACTTAAGTGAAAATTATTCAATTTTTACAATTCGAGTTAAAGTATTTTGAAGTTTAAATTTTTACTTTATTTCTAAAATTTCTCCTTATGTAAGTTACATTATTTTTGGAATGTTAATTTTTGATAAAGAAGAATGACATACAACTTGAATATTTAGATTACGTAATTAAGACGGATAACAAAGAGACATGTAAGCGCTAAATTATTTACTTGGATTATGTACCTTACATGTAAATTAAGGTTTTTGTTAAACAACCTTTTCCTATTACTCATGTGTGAAATTGTTAATAACACCTGTCACCCATGACTTGATTATTGGCCAACCAGGAAAATAGGTTGTGGTCAAGGGAGCTTCACAAGGCGCTACAAGTCATCAGACGCAGCAGAAAAGTCAGTACGACAAATACTTTAAATTTAACTGTTGAGAGTGGAGAAATATCGTAATACACGAGTGGTGGAATCTCTTTCTCTAATGATTCAGTCTTTTCCTTCCTTTTCAAAGATTTGCAGAAAGTTGTGTTCTTTATATGTGACGTCATCAGGCATGGTCGCCTTTTTTCATGGCGTCACAGCAGGAAAATTAAGAAGAAACCAAGAAAATTTGACGTCATAATTAAAATTCAACCAATCATCTGCCGAGAACAAATTTTTCACTAGTGAGGAGAAATATTTTTCTCACACCGGTCAAGAAATGTGAAAATAGCACAAAAATTAGAGAAACAGATTCCACCACTATAACTCGTGTATTACGATATTTCTCCACTCTCAACAGTTAAATTTAAAGTATTTTAAAAACTCGGCAAGCCTCGCGCTTACAATATTAAAATTTAACTGTCTCGAGTGGAGAAATATCGTAACACACTTGTTGCAGTGGTGAAATCTATATATATCACTTCTGAGAATTGTATTAACCAACTGATCTTCATATGATTTCGAGCGATTTAACAAACTAAACATTGACTTTCGCATAACTTTATTGTAAAGACATAACAACATATTACTTGCGCTACACCTATATTGATATCTCATTATTATTCTGAAAGCATTGTTATACATTACACGCATTTTATTTAAAGAGGTAGACTTACATTTAGACCATAAAGATACACAATAGACATTCATACAATAACTTCGGACTGAAAAAGTTGAATCTTGAATTCACACCCGCAGAACATTTGTTCAATTTTCGCTTCAGCATATTAACTTTCCTGCATATACTTTGATATTGTCTCTTTATGTCACAATCACATTTAAATTATTACAAACCATATGTCCAAGATATTTATATTCATCAACAAGTTGTAATAAATTACCACATAAATATAAAAATAAGGAGATGTGATATGATTGTCAATGAGACAACTATCCACCAAAGTTCAAATGAAGTTGATAAAAGCATGCAATTACAGGCAACGGTACGGCCTTCAACAATAAGAAGACCCCATACCGTATAGTCGGCTATAAGAGATCATAAGAGGTCCCGACATGAAAAAATTGCCGATTCAAGTGTGAAAACTAACACGGCCTAATTTATAACACAACAATATACGAAAAATAAATATGTTTTTTTTCATGAATTTTATGATTTATATGTATAAACAAATCATCGACAAAGGTACATGAAAATCTAATTACCATTGATATTAATAATACATTTTTTACATTTTTTTTCCCTTAAATATGGCGAACGAACCCAGGGCGAACATGTAGTTAGGGCGAACGGACCCAATACCGTGACACGTGTGCTCCGAGACGGAGGAATTTACATAGAAAATAGAAGTTATGTAAACAAAAAAAAATCTATAATCTATTTGATAATTTGTGTTCAAATGTTCTCATAACATTGTTACCTTGGACAAACACGTGTCCGAAAATTGTTACAGTGCGTCAAAACTGTAGATTAAAAAATGTCCAAAACGAATGGTGTTACAAATAATGCGTACAACTACGGATCCAACGATGGACAAGCAAAAGTTGACATGGAATCAAGTAATTACGAAAGAGCTGCAACCATCACAAGCCATAACATCAGATACACAGTGGATGTTAAAACAAAACCATGTTGTGGGCAGGTAGAAAAGAAGGAAATATTAAAAGGAATCAAGTTAGTATAAATGTATTTAATCTATCAACTGAGCAAAACATTGATAAAAAAATGTTCCATAATCTAGTATTAGTCCAAATAATTATGACGTCTTGAAAGGCTATTATATTTTTTTTCTTACATCGATGTAAGGCGTCAAAGAAAAAAAATATAATAGCCTTTCAAGACGTCATAATTATTTGGACTACTCTAGTATATGATCAGAAGGTCTGATTTAAAGATTTCGTTTAATCCGAAAACTAAACATGCTATATAAAGCTTGCATGTATTTTATCATATTGGTGTCCTTGAAAGGCTATTTTCAGAATTTAGGACGATAGACATCTGAAAGACAAATTTATTTCATCATTTGGTCAAGGATATACATGATATATTTACTCTGTCTATGTTTCAGGTCAAGTTTACTTCAAGTTCATAAGCTCCTAGGCTATTGTAATGCCATTCATAAAAAGCCTACTGGTAATGCAGTCATTCCTACACACATCACATATATATTATATCAAGTCAGGATATTTCCTGAGAACAACTATTGAAAAACTGCATTCATATGAAGACAATCAAAAGCAAGATTTTGATGTCATTACCCATGAAATACCTAAAAAACAATTGTAAAAGTTGAATTCCTCAGATTTGCTGCAGTTTTGAGTATTTTAAACATACATAGATCTATCTCCAGCATATTTGCATCGATTTGTATGTCATGTATGTGTATAACTTATACTGTTTCAATCATGGTTGACAATTTAAAACTTCTTTCACTTTAAATCATATTAATATCATATCATTAGGGTATCTATATTGGCTACTTCTTTCACTTTAAATCATACTAATATCATATCATTAGGGTATCTATATTAGGCTACTTCTTTCACTTTAAATCATACTAATATCATATCATTAGGTATCTATATTTAAGGCTAAGCTCAGAATAAAAATTAAAAGGGGGTATTAATGTTGTCGTAAGCCCATTTACTTTAAACAAAAACCATTCATCAGGAAAACAAAAATAAGTCAAAATATACATGTACCAGATAGGCAATAAAAAATCGAAAAGTTATAGAAAAATGACAAACTCCCCCCTCCCCCCCCCCCCAAAAAAAAATAACCAAAAAAACCACAACAAAACACACAGAACTGTAAATTAAGCAATAGTATTTATTCAAAGATTAGGAGACCTCTCAGTCTGTGTTTGAGAGTCCAAGTACATTATGTAGCTCACTACAGGGATCACTAGCCTGTCAGAAATGAGGTTGACTTGGAATCCAGCTCATGGCAGGGTGCGTTAAACTCAGATCATATTTGACTAGGATTGCCAGCTTTCCTGTCAAAGGTCTTAGTTCTCTCAAGATACACTAGTTTCCTCCACCAATAAAAACTGGCGGCCATGATATTGCCAAAAGTCCTGAAAGTGGTGTTAAACGCCAATAACCTATTGATCAATCAATCAATAAATACATTATGCAAGTACATTATAACATGTTAATATGTAGTTTTATTATATAATTAGTTATTGCAAAAAGATCATTAGTAGAAACATTAATACATTTTTGTTTAATATACAAAACTGTACTTGCTATTGTAGTGGAGTTTTCAAGCCTGGTATGAATGCCATCCTTGGACCAACAGGTAGTGGAAAATCTTCGTAAGTATTGTATAAGTTCTACATGGACTATAATAATGCTACCACTTAAGTCAAAATTTATAATATTTTAACATGTTTAATGCTCTAAAAATTTCTTATATATTTTTGTACTCAACATTAGAATTAATGACCACGATAATAAACAATGATAAATTTGATATTTTGATTTTATAAAAAAAAAATTAAAAAATTCCTGATAGCCCCGTCTTTTTCAAAGTTTGCATGGTCTACATAAACCATGTAAACTAAGGTAAAAGCTGGAGCTTTCAGGAATTTTTAGATTTTTTTTTACTAGATTATTTGTCATATATGTTATTTTTTTATCATGTTTACAGTAAAAACCATTTCCCCATAAATCTTAATCTTGTTATGATATCAATGAATTCTAACACCCTTTGACCAACACTTTAGGTACACAGCTTTAGAAGATTCTAGAAAAACACAAATAATTTTCCTGATTATCAAATTAAATCAAGATATAAATATTTGCATGGGGGAAAATACATATTAACCAAATCACAAAAGATCCAAGAGGTGCATGCTTCAGGGATCACACATTAGGTAGCACAAAATATTTATTTTTTAACTTTTATGAAACTTCCAGATTATTAGATATATTAGCTGGAAGAAAAGATCCTGCTGGCTTACAAGGACAGCTGTTACTGGATGGATCTCCACCTCCTGAAAATTTCAAGTGTATGGTGGGCTATGTTGTTCAGGTTTGTGTTTCAACATTCGACATGTAGTAATATCAATACCTGGTAATATCAACTGAATTCAATCACACATTGTCACATGAGAAGGCAAATAAATACTTAACAAGTTGCAGATAAACAAGAGAGATGGCTAATATACACTTCACCAGGACCTGTAAAATCTTGACTTCCACTGGAAAAGTCAGACTTTTTATACGACCGCACAAATTTTTTTGCATTGTATAATGCAATGATGTTGTTGTCTGCGTTGTCGTCTGAAGACACATTTGGTTTCCGGACAATAACTTATGTTTAAGTGAATGGATCTCTATGAATTTTTACCAGAAGGTTCATACACAAAAGGCAGGTTGGGATTGATTTTGGGGGTGATGGTATCAACTGTTTAGGAATTAAGGGCCAAAAAGGGGCCAAAAACAAGCATTTTTGTAATTTCCGGACAATAATTTGTGTGTAAGTGTATGGATCTCTCTGAAATTGTACCACAAGGTTGTATATCACAAAGGGAAAGCTGGGATTGAGTTTGGGTTTAATTGCCCCAAAGGTTCAGGAATTAGGGGAAAAAAGGGGCGAAAAACAAGCATTTTTCTAGTTTCCAGACAATAACTTGTGTTTAAGTGTATGGATCTCTCTAAAATTGTACTACAAGGTTCCATACCATAAAGGAAAGGCTGGGGGTAATCACTCCAAAAGGGGGGTGGGGGTTCAAAAAGTTTTTTTTTCCAATTTTTTGGGGGGGGGGGGTTCATTTTTTTTCTTCAAAATTTTTGAAATCTTCAATTGCACAGTATTGCGCAATAGCAAGAAATCTTCAACTGCACAGTATTGTACAATAGCAAGAAATCTTCAATTGCACAGTATTGTGCAATAGCAAAAAATCTTCAATTGCACAGTATTTCTCAACAACACAGTATTGCACTTGAGGTCGAAAGGGTCCAAAATTAAACTTTGTTTGATTTCATCAAAAACTGAACTATTGCGGCTGTATGATTTGCTGAATCTTATTGTGCATTTAGATTTTTATTTTGGGCCCTGTTTTCAAATGAGTTCATATTAAGGTTTGAAGGATCCAAAATCAAATTTTGTTTGATTTCAACTAAAATTAAATTATTGGTGTTTTTTTATACACGGTTGTATATTGGTATGACGTTGGCGTCGTTGTCGTCATTGTTTTTCGCACAATAACTTTAGTTTAAGTGAATGGATCTCTATGAAATTTTACCGTAAGGTTCAATACCACAAAAGGAAGGTTGGGATTGATTTTGGGGGTTATGGTACCAACAGTGAAGGAATTAGGGGCCAAAACGGGGCCAAAATTAAGCATTTTTCTAGTTTCAGACAATAACTTGTGGAACAGTATATGGATCTCTCTGAAATTATACCACAAGTTTCCATACCACAAAGGGATGGTTAGGATTTGCTGTGGGGGATTATGGCTCAAACCGTTTAGGAATTAGGGATAAAAAAGGGGGAAAAACAAGGGTGTCCTGGTTAATGGACAAATACTTTAGTACAAAACATAATTTAAAGCAGTGTAAGGGAGGTAATTCAAATACATCATATTTGTTTATTTTCTTTTGACCACATTTATTTTTTCTCATTTCAGATTTCAGAAATTAAAAAGAAAAATTCTTCAAATATTATTTTTTTTGCAAAAAAAAAGTGTGTGTGTGTGTGTGTGTGGGTTAATAAGCAACAGCATAGTGTATTGCACAAAAGGAAAAAAAACAAAGGGGGGTAATTTTTTTTTTTATTTTGTGGGGGAGGGGTGGTCAACTCGCAACAGCAAAGTGTATTGCACAAAAGCAAAAAATTGAATATAAATTCAAATCATATAACCAATTCTAAGTTCTTTTACTACAGTTATTCTGTTTCAGAAACCTTTTATGTGTCAAACATTTAATTACAATCCAAATTCAGACCTGTATCAAGAGCGAATATTGTGTCCATTTTTACCCCAACTGTTCAGGGTTGGACCTCTGTGGTCGTATCCAGCTGCGTTCGGGGAAGCAATTTATTATATGATGAATCTAACCATGTAGTTAGATTTTGGATATCAGACCATTCTAGGTAAATTAAATGTCCCATTTCAAATTTTTAAGATCTTTGACCACATTTATTTTGTGTCAGAAACCTATCTTATGTCGAAAATTTGATCACAATCCAAATTCAGACAGTATCAAGCTTGAATATTGTGTCCAAACTTGCCCTTACTGTTCAGGGTCCGACCTATGCAGTCGTATCAAGCTGCGCTCAGCGAAGCATTTTATTTTTTTTTAGTCCCCTACCGTCGAAGGAAACTTCAAGTGTGCACTCCGTCTGTCTGTCTGTCCATCTGTCAGTCCGGCAAATCAGTATTACACACTTTTTATGCCCCCGCCGTAGTGGAGGGGGCATTAAGTTTTACCCTTGTCCGTCTGTACGTACGTACGTCCCAAAATTGGTTTCCGTTCCCTAACTTTAGTTTGCCTCAACAATATGTTATGAAACTTATACACAATGCTTATTACCACAAAACACAGATCAAGTTTGAATTTTGGTGGCATCACTTTTACCGTTCTAGAGTTATGCCCCTTTTCAAATGGAAAAAATTGCTGAATTTTTCGTTTCCGTTCTCTAATTTTAGTTTGCCTCTACCAAATGTTATGAAACATATACACAATGTTTATTACCACAAAACACAGATCAAGTTTGAATTTTGGTGGCGTCACTTTAACCATTCTAGAGTTATGCCCCTTTAGAAATGGAAAAATTGCAAAATATTTATTTTCTTCTAAATATCAAGTTATTTTTAAAATTGGAGTTATCTTCCTTTGTCCATGATTATAGTTGAATCAACTACAATCAATGCTTTATACAATGCAATGTTTAATTTTGACTTCCACTGATAAAACACAGATAAAGTTGAATTTGGGTAGTGTCACTTTAATCATTATTGAGTTATGCCCCTTTATAAATTGAAAGATTGCAAAATTTTTAGTTGCCATTCTGTAACTTAAGTTTGCCCCAACCAAACATTATGAAACCTATACACAATATTCATTACCACAAAACTAAGATCAAGTACAAATTTTTTGTTTCCGTTTTCTAACTTTAGTTTGCCTCAACCAAATGTTATGAAACTTACAATGTATACACAATGCTTATTACTACATAATACAGATTAAGTACGAAATTTGGTGGCAACACTTTTACCATTCTTGAGTTATGTCCCTATATAAACATAAAAATTGCTGAATTTTTCGTTTCCATTCTCTAACTTTAGTTTGTCTCCACCAAATGTTATAAAACTTATACACAACCGTTCTAGAGTTATGCGTGTTTACAAATAGAAAAATTGCTGAATTTTTAGTTTCTGTTCTCTACTTAAGTTAGCCTCAACCAAATGTTATGAGACTTACACACAATGCTTATTACCACAAAACTCAGATCAAGTTCAAATTTGGGTAGCGTCACTTTTACCGTTCTTCAGTTATGTCCCTTTATAGCTATATGATATGCAAGCGGGGGCATCATCTGTGTCCACATGTTAACACTATCCACATTTATTTTCTTCGTACTTGAAGATATTGATTTTATATTTGGTAAATTGTTTTATCATGACAAGTTACAGATTAAGTTTGAATTTTAGTTTCTGTTCTGATGATTTTGTGCAGAGTTATGGTCCTTGGACTTAGAAAATTCACTTAAATAATCAGTTTTCCACACTTTTTTCGTCATGCTTGAAGATTTTGACTTGATATTTGGTATATAGTTTACACCATGACAAGTTATAGATCAAGTTAGCATTTTGTTCCAGTACAATTAATTTTTAACCGGTAGGGGACTATGTATTGCTATGCAATACTCTCAGAATGCTTGTTTTTAAATGCATCATCATGATCACATCATTTTATGTAAGGTTTTTGATAGATATACTTTGTAGAAATTACAAACATTGCTTAGGACATCAAATTTCTATGTAATAATCATAGTGGTTTCATTTAAAAGAATATAAATTATGTACATCATTTATTTCCTGTTTTATTTTACTCCAAAATATGCATAATATATTTACCCATAAGCATGATATGTTTTATGTAACAAAAACATATATTTTCTACTCTGGGGTACTTTAAAGGACATGGTAACGAAGAGGAAAAGAAATGTAATTTTTATTCTAAGGAACAGGTTTCCTTTTTATGCATTTTTGCTGAATAAATCCCCCAAAACCTCCCCATTATTAAAAATTAAAAAAATAGCTAAATAAATTAACTGGCCCCCATCTGAGCTATGAATGCTACTTTTATAGAGCTTGTGAATGCTAGTTTTATAGAGCTTATGAACGCCCATCAAATGTTTTGGTACATTGCATGATATTTACTTGCTTATAATTTTATAGGATGATGTTGTGATGGGTGGACTAACAGTTCGTGAGAATTTTGAGTTCTCAGCAACTCTAAGGTTACCTAATCATGTCACTAAAGCTGACAGAAAAGACAGAGTGGATAATGTTATAAATGAACTTGGTCTGAACAAATGTGCTGATACTAAGGTATGTAAACCGTGATCTAAGATGATGTTAACGTTTACAGAAAAAGAAATGATATGGTGTAACAATTCATGACACAAAATTCCTACCTGCACTTGTGACAAAACCTAGAGCAAAGTTTTCCAACTTGTGTCTAATCTGTTTGTCCTTTTTTTTTAACAATAAAATATGTTTAAACTAAACTTATACATCTAAGCAAACACACATGTGCTGTTGTTCCCGTAAGCAAAAGAACAGCATGTGTGTGTTTGCTTAGATGTATTATGAATAATACCTGGTATTGCTGGTAATTAATAATTTCATGAATTTTACACAACCAAAAGTCTTTTAGTTTGAAAATCTTTATGGGTTATATGCGGGAAAAATGATGATGCTTTTTTATGGATGATGAAAAAAATTTTCCTCATCCATAAAAAAGCATATGATATTAAATTTCAATATACAATCATAATAATAGGTCTATACTTTTTCATATTAACGATAAATCAAGACAACTTCAATTGTAATTATTATCCCGATATGGGGATAAAAGCACCAATTACTGTAAATTCAGAAATTATTGGTGCATTTATGATTACGATGTTTGAAGAATGAACAAAAATGTGAGTTTAATTATTGTAATTTAGGAAAAGCTACATACATTTGTATGTATCAGTTATCAGAATGTGAGTTCATAGTATTGCAACTTTAAGGAGTTGCATTATTCAGTTAACTAAAGGTCAACCTTTTCATATTTATACCCCACTCCACATAGAAACTGCTCCATTGAAGGAGTTTCTCAGGGGGTTGCAACATGACATATATATATTTATAGAACAACTAATCTAAGAATTTAAATATAGAAAAATATTCAACAATTGACCGAACAACACATTTATTCACGAATGCACGTAGTGCATGAGATAATTATCAGGTGTTTGTTCGGTCACGAGTTGGATATTTTTTGATATTTGAATTCTTTGAATAGTTATTAGGGCCCCCCCGAATGGGGGACGTCCTATAGTGATCAGTCTGTCCGTTCCTCCATCTGTCCGTCTGTCTGTAACAAATTGTGTCCGCTCTATATCTAGAGAACCGTTATGATTTCAAAGTTTATACTTGACATGTATATTAACCTAACACCAGAGGGTGTGTCATAATGTATGTACAACTTCCTAGGTCAAAGGTCAAGGTAAAAAACTTTGGTTTTAGTTGACAACCCCATGTCCTATGATAAAGATCATGTCCGCTCTATATCTTGAGAACTGTTATGGTTTCAAAGTTTATACTTGACATGTCTATAAACCAATACCAGAGGGTGTGTCATAATTTATGTACAACTTCCTAGGTCAAAGATCAAGGTAAAAAAAACTTTGGTTTCAGTTGACAACCCCATGTCCAATGATAAAGATACAATTTTTTTATCACACATTATTCACAGCGGGGCCCACAGAGATGGCTCCCATCTCAATGATATCTAGTTCTTTTTATTACATTGACAATAGGCTTTTTAATGGAATTAAAGTAGAAAATGCAAGGAACAATATCTTTTTCTAAGCATTCACAATTTGCTTTGATGAGACATCATCGACAATGTCTTGAAACACCTATTGTTGTATGACGTCAGAGAAGTGAAATAATCATGTGAAATTATCGGGTTTTTTTTTACTGTGAAATCACGGTAATTCATTGCATCCAATGTAATAAGTACTAATGATCAGGTTTTTAATGCTTATTGATGTCAAACAAAATCAGATGCAGCTTCCTGATTATGATGTTTTTATTTACAAAGGATTTATGCAGTATAACTGATAGTTACAGTATATTTTTCAAAGGTTGGAAATGAATTTTTCCGAGGTGTGTCTGGTGGAGAAAGAAAAAGAACAAATATTGGTATGGAGTTGATTATCTCCCCTCCTGTGCTATTTTTAGATGAACCAACAACAGGTCTTGATGCCAACACAGCTAACTCTGTAATGATGTTATTGAGAAGGTATTGTTTTGTTCAATTAATGATGTGGATAACTGCCATTTAAATTATCTGAAGAACAATGGGTCTAGTGTAACTATTTTAGGTTTATTCTATCTTATGCTATAATAATCGACTGTTATGTGTAGGTCATGGATGCAGTCCCTTACTGCTTCAAATAAAAGACTTTAAACTCTGTATTTTCTGCTTTTCTGCCAATCATGCAGCATTTAGGAGTCAGAGCAAAGAAAAATTATTGTCCTTAATATGCATGTAATACTTGCCACTTGACATAGCCATCAGACGAATCTTGACAAAACTTAATAGTACTTTTTCTTATTGTTGTTTTAGCTATTATTAGAATGTGGATATCAAAAACAATGATTTTAATGTCTGTTTGTAAATCTGTCCCCTGTATTTGATCATCCAACATTTAATTTCTGAATGCTTAACCATTTGATCAAATCTTTTGAAACTTTTCTCTTATTATGATAAAAATAAAATTGAGAATGGAAATTGGGAATATGTCATAGAGACAACAACCCGACCAAAGAGCAGAAAACAGCCGCCAATGGGTCTTCAACACAGCGAGAAAATCCTGCCCGCTTCAGCTGGCCCATAAATAAAAATGTGTACTAGTTCAGTGAAATGGACGTCACACTAAACTCCAAATCATATAATATATATATGAACCAATTTATGCACATTTAGTATAGTTTTTAGTGGATTTAACATCCTTCAAAAGTTATGACCCTTGCTTAAGAATCGGAAAAATTGTGGATGTGATCTGATTCTATTTTCCCTCATGCTAGGTTGTTCTGTATGTTAAAATTTAACAAATTTTTAATTAAAATTTAACCTCTGTTTATGCTTGTAGATTAGCATTAAAAGGAAGAACAGTTGTCTTTTCTATTCATCAGCCAAGATTCTCTATCTTCAAGTTATTTGACAGTTTAATGTTGTTATCTATGGGTGAATGTGTTTATCATGGACCTGCTCATGAATCTTTGGACTACTTCAAATCTATAGGTTTGTATACATATTAATTATGATTTTGAGAAATGTGTCTACCCTACACCCTTATGACATGGGTTAATGTCTCTGTGCAAGAAGGGCTGTGCATAATTGGCGTAACATAATGTTGTTATCCATTGGGGAATGTGTTTATCATGGACCTGCTCACAAATCTTTAGAGTACTTCAAATCTATAGGTTTGTTTACATTTTAATTATGATTTTGAGAAATGTGTCTACCCTACACCCTTATGACATGGGTTAATGTCTCTGTGCAAAAAGGGCTGTACATAATTGGCTTAACATAATGTTGTTATCCATGGGTGAATATGTTTATCATGGACCTGCTCACGAATCTTTAGAGTACTTCAAATCTATAGGTTTGTATACATATTAATTATGATTTTGAGAAATGTGTCTACCCTACACCCTTATGACATGGGTTAATGTCTCTGTGCAAAAAGGGCTGTACATAATTGGCGTAACATAATGTTGTTATCCATTGGGGAATGTGTTTATCATGGACCTGCTCACGAATCTTTAGAGTACTTCAAATCTATAGGTTTGTATACATATTAATTATGATTTTGAGAAATGTGTCTACCCTACACCCTTATGACATGGGTTAATGTCTCTGTGCAAAAAGGGCTGTACATGATTGGCTTAACATAATGTTGTTATCCATGGGTGAATATGTTTATCATGGACCTGCTCACAAATCTTTAGAGTACTTCAAATCTATAGGTTTGTATACATATTAATTATGATTTTGAGAAATGTGTCTACCCTACACCCTTATGACATGGGTTAATGTCTCTGTGCAAGAAGGGCTGTACATAATTGGCGTAACATAATGTTGTTATCCATTGGGGAATGTGTTTATCATGGACCTGCTCACGAATCTTTAGAGTACTTCAAATCTATAGGTTTGTATACATTTTAATTATGATTTTGAGAAATGTGTCTACCCTACACCCTTACCATGCTTACGACATGGGTTAATGTCTCTGTGCAAGAAGGGCTGTACATAATTGGCTTAACATAATGTTGTTATCCATGGGTGAATATGTTTATCATGGACCTGCTCACGAATCTTTAGAGGACTTCAAATCTATAGGTTTGTATACATATTAATTATGATTTTGAGAAATGTGGCTGCATTTCACCCTTATGACATGGGTTAATGTTTATGTGCAAAAAGTGCTGTACATAAATGGCTTAATATAATGGTGATCATCAATTACTGACTGAAATTGGTTGGCTTCTTCCATTCTTCCAATATTCCTTATATCTTTCACTGACCAATAAGAGTTAATTTTGATATTTGGAGCAATCAGTGTTGGATTGCCTTCAGTTGCTGTGTACCACTTTAGAAGATTTGGGCCACTGTATATTGCATGTTATGATGAGACCTTCAAGAGCATTTTATTCTACAAATAATATGTGATAGAATATTACAACTGGTATAGTAATAACTGTAAAATACTTGTTCTTGATGATTGTTATAGTATTTTTGTTGACAGTTACTGTTGAAAATGATTTTTACAGGATATGTTATAGAAGAACACAACAATCCACCAGATTTTTTCTTAGATGTTATTAATGGAGAGGCAAATCACTCAGAACAAGGTATGAAATTTTATATACATCCACATACTGTGGATTCATTATTATATGTGAGATATTGTTTTTGTGGGTATAGGTTTAACACAAATTGTTCAACAAAGTACAATTTTTCTATAGGCTGGTATGCAGATTTTGGCAAAACTACAAAATCAAATATCCACAGAAATAAAAATTTTCATCAATTCGTAAAATTGGTATCCATGAAAATAAATAAATCCACACATTTGATTTTGCTCTTAGTTTTCAAATTTGAAAATAAGAAAAAATATAGTTGATACTAGTATGAAATCACAGCCATCTTATTTCAGTTGATTCAGTTGTGTTTTAAGCTTCAACATATTTACCACATTGTTTTCTTGACAGATCAAGGATATATGTTAAAGCATCACATATTTGTCCTATCTTAAACAAAATAGAGCCAACCACATTATTATATGTCGAAATAAATTAAGTTGGCTCACATTAAGGCATAATTACAATTTTCAGTAGAGCATCTGCCCATTGGATATTTTGCTTATTTCATAAGTCAGTTTAATATGGTTTTTTTTTTCAATTATTTTAAATTTGAGATAAAATTAAAGATTTATTATCATTGTTGTGATGTGAAGTTTGTAATTTGCATATGTCACATGTCCTCGACCTCATTATTATGATTCAATGTTAAACTAGAAGTTAAGGTTTTAGTGGTTTTGTTTTGCTATAAGGTTATTTTCTTATCTACTATAATTAAAAGTCCAATAATATTTGATATATATGTTAGACGCAGATCGACGTCTGGTCTCTAATCTATGTCCAATTTTTTTACCCTCTAATCATCGTCCAATCTGACATCATGCATAAACGAAACAACGTCCGATCGATAGTAGTCTCCTCTCGTTGGTGTCCAATTACATTTAATCATTTATATTAGTTTGATCTTTGTTTATATCATCTGTATCGTTTTTTGTCTTTGTGTAAAGCTGCTTAAAGCAACAAATCGTTTTTGTCCAGCCTGCGGCTTTTGTCGCAGAAAGCTCGACATAGGGATAGTGATCCGGCGGTGGCGTTAGCTAACTTCTTAAAAGCTTTATATTTTCCAAGGTGGAAGACCTGGATGCTTCATACTTTGTATATAGATGCCTTATGTTATGAAGTTTCCGTCTGTCATATGTCCATTGTCCTTGACCTCATTTTCATGGTTCAGTGACTACTTGAAAAAAAAGTTAAGATTTTTTGTAATGTTAATTTCTCTCTTATTATGAGTAATAGGATAACTATATTTAATATGTGCGTACCTTGCAAGGTCATCATGCCCATCAGACAGTTTCTTCGTCTGACCTCGACCTCATTTCATGGATCAGTGACCAAGGTTAAGTTTTCGTTGTCAAGTCCATATATCAGATACTATAAGCAATAGGCCTTCTATATTTGGTGTATGGAATGATTGTAAGGTGTATATGTCCAACAGTGTCATGTGACCTTGACCTCATTTTCATGTTTCAGTGGTCTAAGTTAAGTTTTTGTGTTTTGGTCTTTTTTTCTAATACTATATGCAATAGGTCAACTATATTTGGTGTATGGAAATATTTTACAATATACATGTCAGTCTGGCAAGTTTTATTTGACCTTGACCTCATTTTCATGGTTCATTGCTCAGAGTTTAGTTTTTGTGATTTCGTCTGTTTTTCTTAAACTATAACCAATAGGTCAACTATATTTGTTGTATGGAATGATTGTAAGGTGTATATGTCTGTCTGGCAGGTATCATCTGACCTTGACCTCATTTTCATGGTTCATTGGTCAATGTTAAATGGTAAATGTTTAGTAAATGCTCCTAGGTCAGGTAACATTTAAAAAGAATGTATTTATTAAAAAGAAATGCTGTAAGATGTTCATGTTTGTTTGACTTGGGTCTATTGACCTCGACCTCATTTGATGGTTTAATGATAAATCATTATGTTAAAGTGCTGAGGTCTGCTTCTTTGTTACTGTAAGTAATAGGTTAACTATATTTAGTCACTTGAATTGTTTTAAAAATGTAAGTATATCTGACCTTGCCATGGAGATCACTGACATTGACCTCGTTTTCTGGTTATGTAATCAAATTATTCTTGCCCAGGTAAGAGGTCAACTAAATATGTCACTTGATCTTGATCTCATTTCCATAGGTCAAGTAGCTGCTAATGTTAGTTTTTCTGTTTCATTGGGTTGGTCAACTGTGCAGTGAACATAGTCACCTGACTTTGACCTTGACCTCATTTTCATGGTTCTTTGATCAACTTCAGGGTGTTCACTCATTTTGGAACAATTGCTTAATTTTTATTTAACTTATATTGAAGACATTTACCAGAATGTTATACTTAAATTTAAATTCAGAGAATCTGTTACTTGGCTAGGGATAACTTTTACAAAAAAAAGTCCAATTTATTCCAAGATAATTGATTGGATATTACAAAATTTACTTGTTTTCATACTTAAATTTGAGATTAATAAGTATTTACGCAATTAAATTATGATATTAAAAAACCTTTCTAATTAATCATTTGCAAAAAGACAAGATTACACATTGATAAAGAGAAACATTTATCAATTTCTGAAATATTTTTATATTTGAAGTACAAATGTCTTATATTAAATTTAAGTTTCAAAAAATTTCAGTTTAAAGTAAGTATTGAAGATTTATGTTATGTTTATGGTTATTGGGGCATTTAAAGATGATAAAGCAATAAAATTTATGGTTGAGATAACAAGGTGAAGTTTATGAGTATATCATTGTTGAATTGACCTTCAGGTATCAGATTAAACAGTATGAAGTCTTTTTAACCATTGATAACACTGTATATAAGATTTTTAGATCATATTTTATACTTGTTATCTATAAAACATTAATACTATAAAATGTAGATTTTTTTAATGTTCTGTGAATTATGTGCTGATATGTCATGTATGTCAATAGGAATACTTAAATACAGAGAAACATGGTTCCATTATTAAGTTCTTTGGTTGTATCACTGTTTCATTTTCAAAACATTAGTTATGGCTAACTTACAAAAGGCAAAATCAAAAGAGAATCTTTAATTGAGATCATTTTCAATCAAAGCTTATAATACATGTAATATGTAAAAATTTCATTAATTGAGATAAAACATTTTCGTTTGCTTTTAGATATAAAAGAAATTTCACTGAAAGGTAATTGTGACAATGTACACAATACTAATAGTGTGTATGGTTCATAATGTATATTTTATATACAAGAAAGTGTAAGCTACAAATGTGTGCTCAGTAAACTAATTCACTCACTTTTAGAAGTTAGTGGTGCACTAAATATATATATTTATGCATTGCCTTTTTAGCTCACCTGACCCAAAGGGTCAAGTGAGCTTTTCTCATCACTTGGCGTCCGTCGTCCGTCGTCGTCGTCCGTCGTCGTTAGCTTTTTACAAAAATCTTCTCCTCTGAAACCACTGGGCCAAATTTAACCAAACTTGGCCACAATCATCATTAGGGTATCTAGTTTAAAAAATGTGTCCGATGACCCCGCCAACCAACCAAGATGGCCGCCATGGCTAAAAATAGAACATAGGGGTAAAATGTAGATTTTGGCATATATCTCTGAAACCAAAGCATTTAGAGTAAATCTGACATAGGGTAAAACTGATTATCAGGTCAAGATCTATCTGCCCTGAAATTTTCAGACAAATCTGACAACCTGTTGTTGGGTTGCTGCCCCTGAATTGGTAATTTTAAGGAAATTTTGCAGTTTTTGGTTATTATCTTGAATATTATTATAGTTAGAGATAAACTGTAAACAGCAATAATGTTCAGCAAAGTAAGATCTGCAAATAAGTTGTCATGACTAAAATTGTCAGTCGACCCCTTTAGGAGTTATTGCCCTTAATAGTCAATTTTTAACAATTTTTCGTAAATTTTTGTAATCTTTTACAAAAATCTTCTTCTCTGAAACTACTGAGACAAATTTAACCATACCTGGCCATAATCATTATTAGGGTATCTAGTTTAAAAGATTTGTCCGATGACCCTGCCTTCCAACCATCATGGCCAACTTAGTTAAAAATAGAACATAGGGGTAAAATGCAGTTTTTGGTTTATATCTCTGAAACTAAAGCATTTAGAGCAAATCTGACAGGTGGCAAAAAAATTCATCAGATTTAGATTTATCTGCCCTGAAATTTTCAGACAAATCCGACGACCCGTTGTTGGGTTGCTGCCCCTGAGTTAGTAATTTTACAAAAATTTTGCAGTTTTTTGTTATTATCTTAGATATCATAATAATATCTAATACTATTAATTATGATTTTAACCTTATTTTACATGATTTCCAAAGCATCAGTAAATACAGGTGAGCAACACAGGCTCTTGAGAGCCTCTAGTTTCTGGAAGCTCTAAATAATTTTATATATATCTTGCAGTATGTCCAGTTGCATTTTCAAACCTATAAATATGGATATGGCCTTTACACTAACTGATTTTTTATTTTCTCATGATTAATTTTAACATATCATTTTTTTGGTTCAGAAAAATACTTTTTGTTAGTAATATGTTTTGTATGACCTATTTGAGATTGACATAAGAAAGGTCAAGTCAACCTTATTCGCTGTTTTCTCATGATTGTTTTTTGTTTCTATTATAAAATTTTTGCTTCTTTGTCTTATGTAAAACTTTTCCTTTTTTTCAACTAAAAGGTAACATACAGGCATTGCTTGTGAAAAACCAAGAACAGTTATAAATAAAGTTCCCCAAAGCTTAGAAAATTGACCATAACATCTTATTTTCCTTAAAGCTGTAGGACACATAAAATGTTCTTTATTGAAAATTATTGGAAACCTTAAAGACCTCGATTTTACCTAATTATATAATTTCTTTCATTAAGATACACAAAATCTCACATAATGTTCTCCTCGAGTTAAAACTAGCAAGGATACCCCTTTTTTGTCATTTTGAAATATGTCTCTGTTAACATTTAGTTGCCTTAGGTGTACATGTATGTATCAGAAATGTTTGGTGATACAACTATGTATCAGTATTTTATTGAATGAATGGTGCATTTAACATTTTGGTCATCTTATAAATTAAAGTAGATATTGTCTATTTTATGCTTGTAGGCCAACATATAGACCACCATACTATTGTATCTAGGATATTCAAGGGTCTTCATGTCCCATATATCATATTTTTAACAATTACATTTTTTAAAAGCCTTAATGATAAACATCTATGGCTATGATCACTTTTTTTCATTATATTGAAAAACATGAAACAGGATGTGAATATTAAATGCATGTACAAATTAGTAACAATGCTTTTAGCTTTATGAATGCAGAGCTTTTTCACTTAGTTTGTATTGAAAAGCATCATATATCCTTATGCTTTTTTCAATCTTTGTTCCATTCATAGTTTTTTCTATAGTTTCTTCTTATGCATACACCTAGTTAATGATACTGCAAGCTTTTTTGCTTTTGATTGAACATATTTTATCCTTTTTGCATCAATAACTTTTGATTTTCTCAGTTTGTTCCATAGGCAATTGTTTCTGTCAATTTTTCGTACAGGTGTGGAACCCCCCATTGACAGAAACAAGCGCCTGTGGTTTGTTCATGTTGTTTTCAAATCAAATAGATTTGCCAAATGAATATTATAAACAACAACTTCTTCAAATATCCACAGTCTTAAGTAAATTTTCTCCCTCAGATTAATTCTAAATATTGAATAAATTGGGGTTAATGAATTTCGCCGTTTCAGAATCTAATGCATTCTGAGTAATATTTTCAAAAGCGTACACCAAAACGTTGTGATTGGTTTAAAACTTTCTGAACAATAGAAATGATGTAAGGTTATTTTCATTTTGGTGTACGAACAATGAGATTACCCATAGTCCTTTAGATTCTGAAAAGGCGAATTGAGTCGGCAGTTGAACCAAACAATTACACCAAACATATACATCTTGAGACCTTAAACCATTTTTAGTCATGAACAAGAATCTACAGCTTATTGAAAACCTGATATTGTACTCCTATTACACCAGTATTTTTTTAATCAAAGATGTCTGTGCAGCAATGTATTTTTCTATAACTGTGAAATAATGATCTCTTAAGTGCCAATATCTTGTTTTAAAACACCAATGTTTTGAAATTTGCATGCATGTTACATCATGGTTCTTGTAACATTTTCTAGAAATGAAGTCCAGAAAGATAATGTTTAGTATTTGATTGGCTGGTGTTTAAATGCCACTTTCAGTGCTATTGTGATATTTTGTGGCAGAAGGAGGAGTGCCTGGAGAGAACCAATGACCTTCAGTAGAAAAACTGACAGTCCAAGTCAATCAAGCTTGGCTGCCACGTGTGGGATTCGAACTCACAACCTCTGTGTTGACAGACTAGTGATACAGTAGTTTGACTACTAAGACCACTTGGCCATCAAGGCTCTTATATTAGTAGTTGCAAATGCAGATATACATATGAATAAAAGAAGATGTGGGCTATACTTCAATGAGACAGCAACCAAACGATAAACATAACCAAGAGACATGTAGCTTTCAGTTTGCTTATGTAGAGAAGAAGAATTGTTAAAATTTACAATCTCAAAATTGATTGCAATGAAAAAAACAGTTTTTTATATAATCATTTAGATTTAGTAATTACTGAACAATGAATTTTGGAAGTCCATGCAAGTTATGTTTCAAAAATATGTAAAAAGTTAACTTTATGCAAATACATTGGTTAACAATTTGGAGTACAAGTTTTAAAACTTTTGTAGTTTTGGAAGAAATTAATAATAATACTGTGTCTTTAGAAAACTTAAATGAGGTCACCCTGCTGAAAGAATATATAAAAATGTCCAAATGAATGATATGTCAAACTATTTGAATTAATTATATCCAGTATTTTACAGACATTGAAGAAGTACATAAGAAATTGGTATCATCTTTTCAGAATTCAACTTTAAATTCAAGGTATAGAATATTTATTAGGATTATTTGGAAAAACGTAAAATATTCAGGAAAAAACAGCAAATTAATTAATAAGAAAAAAATTAAGAGTTGCTGGATGATTTTTACGAGAATTGTAATCGTCTTTTATACGCCCATAAGGGATATATTATGGTATGCTGTAGTCCAGCTGTCTGTATGTACAATAAATCAACATTAGGACGAATGGAAGAAAACTCTCCTTCTATATTGAACCTGTTTTGGTTTGTCATTCCAGAATTTCAGGGCTTTAACTATAAATTTATGGCATTTTTTATTCACATATATCTCACACTTACTCAAGTTTTCATACATCGTATACTAGTGTTGGTATTGATAAAAGAAATCTCCTCTACGGTTTTGAAATTTGTGTGATTTCTGGTTCCAGAGTTATTGGACTTAACTGCCAGATTTATGGCAATTTTTCAAATTTCTTGCACTTACTAGAGTATACCAAAATTAATTTACTCAAAACTTTATGCTGTTACACAAGCATTTGGATTGATTATAGGAAACTCCCTTTTGATTTTGAAAAGACTTTTAATTGTCAGATTTTAGTTGATTTTCACATGTTGTACACTAACTTGAGTATGAATGAATAGATTTACTTGAAGCTTTAAACAACTGTCGGATTCCAAAGTTATATTTGACATATAAATAAAGATAAAAAAAGTAAATAGCTTAGATAGTATGCTGTGACCAAATTTCTACAAACTTAATGCTGTTGTTGGGATTGGTTAATGTAGGCTCACTTCCTCAAGTTTGAATTTTCTGATCGGATGTTCCAGAGTTATGAGACTGTTTACAGTCATACTTTAGTCAATATTTATACACCTTAGGATATGTACATGCAAGTTATTCTATAGGGCCATTTTACTGACTTCTGATTAAAAACATTTTAAATATTCAATTTTTTTTTTTAACAATTTCTATATGCACAAAAGAATGTATCATGCACTCTTTGCACAGCTGTTTATTATAATTGTTCTCCAGTAGGATTGTCAGTATGTAAATCTTCCTTGCAGAAATGCATGATATTTATAACCATTATTGGCATGAATCAGATATATTTATTAATGAAAATATTGTAATTGTTTATTTTGTATTGTCTTGGTAAATTGCTTAGCTGCCATTAATATCTGTGTATGTGTTGTAACTTCTTTGTAGTATAATGTAGTTGCAAATATAGATTAGTACTATATTGTTTGATTGGCAGATTTGTATTCAAATAAAATCTACATTGTCAAATAAATATCTGCTTTGATTCTTATCTAAATATATTTTGCATGAATGCATCTTGTTTATATATACTAAAAGAAAACAGTCTATTGCATGTTAGTGAATGTTTTACAATTTTTTTTTTTTTTTGCATGAAAAGGGAGATAACTAAATAGTATTTATTGACAGATTACAAAATGAGATGAATCCAATCTTACAACAGTATCAGCATGCTGTAGAGACCAATACTGTTAAGGTTTTACCTAAAATAGAATACGCAACATCAGCTTTCACACAGGTATATTGTTGTATTATAAAGAGGCAGTTTCAGTGATTTGCTTTTTCAAATGTGGTACTGAACTTGCATGACAATTTTTCCAGTGGATGTAAAGAAAACAATCATATTTTTCATATGTTTCATTAAAAGTATTGCAAAACTCTGAATTCAAGGTTGAATAAGAAATTCCTTTCAAAAATTTAGATTTTTGTCAACTTCAAATAATATATCAATAAAAATTGTCTGTACGAAGTACAATCCTTGTATAAAAATTGAATAAGTCAATATGAATATTCAAACATTGCCATATCCATATCCATATTTTTTTGTAAGTTCAACTTTTAATAGAAGATTCAACATAATGTACTGTAGATTCATATGAAAATGCCAAAAATAAGTGGCTCTACCTTTTCTTTATCTCATTTGATTGGCTCTACCTTTTCTTTACCTTATTTGATTAACTTACTGTTTAGCTGATATACTGGGAATTGATCTTTAAACTAAAGCAGAAGTCATTTTATGTAACAAACTATAATGAAATAATTAGAAATATTTATAGGGGGCATTTAAATGACTGGGGTATAAGGGAACTTAACTGTATATGATATAGCTGCATCACAAACCTATTTGGCTGGCTGTAATGTGATATTGTACTAACATGTATCTGTCCTATATGTACAGGCTGCAATACAATTGACCATTCATTCATCATATAGCTTTTTTAGTCCCCTGTCGAAGGGGACTTTAGGTTTGCACTCCGTCCGTCTGTCTGTTTGTCTGTCTGTCAGTCCGGCAAATCAGTTTTCCACACTTTTTTTCTTCATGCTTGAAGATATTGATTTGTTATTTGGTATATAGTTTTATCATGACAAGTTACAGTTCAAGTTTGAATTTTGTTCTGGTCTGATGATTTTGTGCAGAGTTATGGTCCTTGGACTTAGAAAATTCACTGAAATAATCAGTTTTCAACACTTTTTTTCATCATGCTTGAAGATAAGGATTTGAAAATTGGTATATAGTTTCATCATGACAAGTTACAGATCAAGTTCCAATTTTGTTCCTGAATGATGATTTTGTGTAGAGTAATGGTCCTTGGACTTAGAAAATTCACTGAAATAATCAGTTTTCAACACTTTTTTTCATCATGCTTGAAGATATTGACCTGATATTTGTTATATAGTTAACACCATGACAAGTTATAGATCAAGTTAGAATTTTGTTCCAATACAATGAATTTTTAACCTGTAGGGGACTATGTATTGCCAGGCAATACTCACAGAATGCTTGTCAATATTACACACTGTATCAACCCTCAACCAATATAATCCTTAGAGCTGAATCTGGAGCTATCAGAGACTATGTTCTCTATATATCATGTATATTACCATATAAACAATTCCATGTTACCAAATATGGATAATTTAACCAAGAGTGATGTTATTATTTTACTTTCAGTTTAAAGCTGTTTCTGGTAGAACAATACTTAATTTACTGAGAAATCCACAGTTGTCAGTTATGCAGGTAAGAATGTTTGATTTATAGTTAAAGCATTTGATATTTGTGTTGATGCATCATTTTAAAGTTTGATATTGGTTTAACTGATGGAAGATGTATAAAATATTTGATAAACTTTCAATATGATTAAAAATTCTAAGTCCATTTAAAAATAAAATACGAAAAAAAATGGATTTATTTTTTTACAAAATTTCCTTCTAGATACTAGCTTTTGATCATAAACAAGCTTCTGTCCAAGTTTGGTACAAATCCAAAATAGTATAAGAAAGTTATTAAAATTTTAAAAACTTTAACCACAGAGTGAATGTAATATTTCCCCGGCAGAAAAACTAAGTCCATATATAAGTAAAATACGGAAAAAATGGAATTTTATTTTTACAAAATTTACTTCTGGATACTATCTTATGATCATAAACAAGCTTCTGTCCAAGTTTGGTAGAAATCCAGGATAGTTTAAGAAAGTTATTAAAATTTCAAAAACTTTAACCACAGAGTGAATATTTGTGGACGCCGCCGCCGACGGAATGTAGGATCGCTATGTCTCGCTTTTTCGACTAAAGTCGAAGGCTCGACAAAAACCATAAGTACAGGAGGTTATTGGTTCTATCCCAGACGAGGTCAAACCAAAGACTTGAAAATTGGTATTAGATGTTTTTACGCTAAACACACAGCATTTAGGAGTAAGAGCAAATACTGGTTGGCTCATAGTCGGAATGTTTCTCAGGAGTGGATCCAGGATTTTAGGTTGGGGGGCACAAACATAAATTTTCGCCGAGCGGAGGGAGGTGAAAATTTATTTGAGGTAAAATTGTTGAAATATTCTTTATTAAGCTGAGGACAACCCATGATTTGCAAATTTTAAGGGGGGCGCACGCCCACCATGCCCCTGCCTGAATCCGCCCCTGTGTCTTAATAGGTTGACATGTCTTCTTGTGGACTGTAACCTTGTGAATTAGCATGTGAAGAATCTGACTTAGTGTGTCTTTCTAGTACAAAGTAGGGTTTATATTTATATCCTAGTTAACATGTTGTTGTCCTGATATGTAATATAAAAAAGAAGAGGCATGATTGCCACAAGAGATCAAATGACACAGAAACTATAGGTCACTGTACTGCCTTCAACAATGAGCAAAGCCCATACCGCATAGTCAGCTATAAAAGGCCCGAAATGACAAATGTAAAACAATTCAAACGAGAAAACTAACGGCCTAATTTATGTACAAAATAATGAATGAAAAATAAATATGTAACATGCATGTTATAGTTGTCACTAGAGGTTAAACACCACCCCGTCTTCAATATCATCATTATCGGTGCATAAAAACAGAGAAAACTGTTAAATTACTTTATTTTACATTTATATGTTAATGAAATGTTTAAGATGAATGTACCGGTAGACCTCCAACTTAACTGTTTCACAAATTCAGCCAGAATTGTTCATAACAAATGATTGGCTGTTAACTATGGCATTTTCATATTTGTCTTTACATTGAAACTTTGTAAGGTAATTTATTCAGAACAATAACAATTTCAGATTTTTTTTTACAGTGGTTGGTGTTGATAATATTTGGGTTGATTGTTGGTGCTATTTATTGGCAGCTAGAGAAGGATTGTGTAACAGGGATCCAGAACAGGTATATTAAATATCAAGTTTACTCCATTTTTACCTGTGTCTCCAACAGTGGAAGCAGGTGAAGTAACCGCTCCACTCTGTCCTTTATTCCGTCATTCTGTCTGTTTGAAAGACCTTTGGTCAAAACTATTGTCAGGGATTTTATATTTAGTCAGCAGCTTAATAATATTGAGTTATAGCGCGTAAGCAATTTTAACATCTGCCGTGAAGCCACTTCCTGATATCGAATAGTTTGAAATTTTACAATACTCATTGTACAAGATGTGTAACAAAAATATTAAAACTCCAAAAAAAGGCAGCAAGATTAATTTTAGATACAGATCCTTTATCCCCTTCATCCCCTTATTTAAAGAACTTGGGTGGATGACAGTTGAAAAAAGAATTAAATATCACAAATATTTACTTGTATGTAAATGTGTGCGTGTGGAAGCACCAATGTACCTTGTTCAAAAGTTTAAACTGAAATCAGATAATAATCTTTACTCCTTGAGAGGTGTTACTCAAGGTAATTTGATAGTTCCTAAGCCAAAAGCTGAGCTGTTTAAGAAATCTTTTGTTTATTCTGGATCAGTGCTATGGAATGGACTACCACACAAAATGCATAAAGCCCAAAACACTTTTACTTTTAAACAAAGTATCAAGAAGTACTTGACACTGTCCTGATAAGATTCTGTTTTTCTACAACGTATTATTTTGATTTGTATAATTTTGATTTTATTTTGATTGAATTTTTTGTCGAGCCTGCAACTTTTGTCGCAGAAAGCTTGACATAAGGATAGTGATCCAGCGGTGGCGGCGTCAGCTAAGTTCTTAAAAGCTTTATATTTTAGAAGCTAGAAGAGCTGGATGCTTCATACTTTGTATATAGATGCCTTATGTTACGAAGTTTCCGTCTGTCATATGTCCATTGTCCTTGACCTCATTTTCATGGTTCAGTAACTACTTGAAAAAAAAGTCAACTTTTTTTGTAATGTTAATTTCTTTCTTATTATGAGTAAAAGGATAACTATATTTAGTATGTGCGTACCTTGCAAGGGCCTCATGCCCGTCAGACAATTTTCATTTGACCTCGACCTCCTTTCATGGATCGGTGAACAAGGTAAAGTTTTTCGTGGTCAAGTCCATATATCAGATACTATAAGCAGTAGGTCTACTATATTTGGTATATGGAATGATTGTAAGGTGTACATGTCCAACTGGTAGGTGTCATCTGACCTTGACCTCATTTTCATGGTTCAGTGATCAAAGTTAAGTTTTTGAGTTTTGGTCTTTTTTTCCAAAACTATATGCAATAGGCCAACTATATTTGGTGTATGGAAATATTTTATGATGTACATGTCAGTCTCACAGGTTTTATTTGACCTTGACCTCATTTTCACAGTTCATTTCTCAGTGTTAAGTTTTTGTGTTTTGGTCTGTTTTTCTTCAACTATAAGCAATAGATCAACTATATTTGTTGTATGGAAGGATTGTAAGGTGTATATGTCTGTCTGGCAGGTCTCATCTGACCTTGACCTAATTTCCATGGTTCATTGGTCAATGTTAAGTTTTCATGGTTAAGTTTGTTTCTTAGATACTATAAGCAACTATATTTAATGCATAAATTGATTGTAAGGTGAACATGTCTGTCTGGCAAGGTTCATCTGACCTTGACCTCATTTTCATGGTTCATTGGTCAATGTTAAGTTTTCTTGGTTAATACTGTTTCTTAGAAACTATAAGCAATAGGTCAACTATGTTTGGTTTATTGAATGATTGTAAGGTGTACATGTATTTCTTGTTTGGTTTATCTGACCTTGACCTCATTTTCTTGGATCATGTTAAGTTAATGTGTTACTTGTAGTAAAGCTTTATATTTAGGACTATCAACATAAAATCAATGGTTAGTAAAGAAGGCGAGACATTTCAGCGTGTGCACTCTTGTTTAAATTTTTTACTACATGTACCTCTTGAACAGTTTTATCTCTTAACATGTTTTTAATAATACATTGAAATGCTTTTCTGTAAATTAAGTATGTGTGAATATTTGTTTTTGATTGTATTGTAATTTGTTTGTGAGGACCTCGGGCAAGATTTGTTTTTTGTAACTAACTGTGTTTACCCTCTTTAAATAAAAAATTTATTATTATACCCCCGCTTTAAAAAAGTGGGGGTATACTGTTTTACCTCTGTCTGTCTGTCTGTCCATCCATCCGTCCATCTGTTAGTCCATCCATCAGTCCGTCCGTCAGTCTGTCCGTCCCATGAAAATTTTTCTTTGCATTTTTCTCAGGAACTACTTTACAAGGATTTCTGAAATTTGGTTTCAGGGTTTATATGAGTCAGATATACCGTGTGATGCGTTTTCAGATTCATCACTCAACAACTTTCTGTTTACCGAACACTTACATCATTTTACACATGACATTCAAGTAGTTGAAAATTTTCGTCACATTTATCTCAGGAACTACATTACAAGGATTTCTGAAATTTGGTTTCAGGGTTTATATGAGTCAGCTATACCATGTGATTCTTCACTCAACAGCTTCCTGTTTACCAAAATATTTGGTCGGGGGTATCATCAGTGAGCAGTAGCTCACAGTTTCACTTGTTATTATTATAATAGTAAAAAACCATATACTTTTGTGCCAAATTATACAAATAACAAATATGATTTATATGAAAACACTTTAACAAGTCTGAATTTAAGAAAAGGTTGATTTACTACCAGTTGAAACCCTGTATGGCAAATCTTAATTCATTCAGAATTTAAAATCAACTAGAAACCTATAGTTTATATTTCATAATCAGTGGCAGATCAAGTTGGAGTTTTGTTCTGGTTTAGTGATTTATTTTAAAAGTTGTGGACCCAGAGCAAAGTAAATATTTTAAAAATATCAGTTTTTGAAAATTACAAACCTGTAGGAGATGACAATTTCTGCATGAATTAATTGATATTCTGACCCAAGTAATGATAAGATGGAAATTCCAAATTACATCAGTAACAACTAAATGCTTTCCCCATGTAAGTGTAAATACATCCAATGTAAATACAGGCAGTTGGGAACATTGTATCAATACCCTCTTAATTAATGTTTTAACTTATTTTATTTTATCTTCCAGAGTTGGAGCCTTTTTCTTCATTATAATGAATCAAGTATTTGGAAATTTATCAGCAGTAGAATTGTTTATCAAAGAGAGATCTATATTCATGTATGTAATTTTATAGCATTGTCCATTTTTGTTGTCAAAGTTTTGACCTAATTGTTTAATTTTTTTTTCTTTATAATTATGAATCAAGTATTTAGTAATTTTTATTCCATATTTTTTTTTAAAGAGATTTATATTTTCACAATTTGTGGCCAAAATCTTTTTTAAACTAAATATGTCTTCAAAATCTTCTATCCAATACTGATCTGATATTCATGCAATTATCAGATACTTGTAGATTGTTGGTAGTTTAGCCACCTCGCAGCCTCCTTCATTTAGAAAACTCACTACCATGAAACTGGACAAATATGAGATAGTAAAATCCCATTAAAATAACAAACATTATACAAAGATGTTTGTAAGGTAACTTTGTGTACACACCTCCCAATAAACAATAATGTTTACACATATCCCTTTGAACAACAATGTGTACACACATCCCACTAAACAACAATGTAAACAAATATCCCATTATACAAGCATTTAACAATGATGTTAGATGGTTTTGTTTGTGTAAATATATCCCTTTAAACTACAATGTTTACATATATCCCATTTAACAAAAAAGCAATGAACAGTATATCCCTGGTTTATTACATGTAGCATTCTAATCTTTAGTTGTTTTTGTCGAGCCTGCGTCGCAGAAAGCTTGACATAGGGATAGTGATCCGGCGGCGTTAACTTACTTCTTAAAAGCTTTATATTTTAGAAGGTGGAAGACCTGGATGTTTCATACTTTGTATATAGATGCCTTATGTTACGAAGGTTCCGTCTGTCACATGTCCATTGTCCTTGACCTCATTTTCATGGTTCAGTGACCACTTGAAAAAAAAAGTTAAGATTTTTTGTAATGTTAATTTCTCTCTTATTATGAGTAATAGGATAACTATATTTGGTATGTGCGTACCTTGCAAGGTCCTCATGCCCGTCAGACAGTTTTCTCTTGACCTCGACCTCATTTCATGGATCAGTGAACAAGGTAAAGTTTTTGTGGTCAAGTCCATATCTCAGATACTATAAGCAATAGTTAGGTTTTTGTGTTTTGGTCTGTTTTTCTTAAACTATAAGCAATAGGTCAACTATATTTGTTGTATGGAAGGATTGTAAGCTGTACATGTCCGCCTGGCATGGTTCATCTGACCTTGACCTCATTTTCATGGTTCATTGGTCAATGTTTAGTTTTCTTGGTTAAGTCTGTTTCATAGAAACTATAAGCAATAGGTCAACTATATTTAGTGTATTGAATGATTGTAAGGTGTACATGTATTTCTCGTTTGGTTTATATGACCTTGACCTCATTTTCTTCGATCAAGTTAAGTTTATGTGATAGTTGTAGTAAAGCTTTATATTTAGGACTATCAACATAATATCAATGATTAGTAAAGAAGGCGAGACATTTCAGCGTGTGCAATCTTGTTTTTTTAAGGTTGGGGAAATATAAAGATAAGGAGATGTGGTATGATTGCCAATGAGACAACTATCCACCAAAGTTCAAATGAAGTGGGTCTAAGCAATTATAGGCAACTGTACGGCCTTCAACAATGAGAAAAATCCATACCGTACGGTTGGCTATAAAAGGCCCCCACATGAAAAATATGAAACAATTTAATTAAGAAAACTAACAGCTTAATTTATAACAAAACAGTTTACGAAAAACAAATATGACAGGCATGAACCAACGACAACCACTGAACTACAGGATCCTGACTTGGGACAGGCACAAAAAAAATGTGGCGGGGTTAAACATGTTTGTGAGAGCTCAAAGCCCATTTTGACTTTATAAATTACATAGAATGTAACTGATAGAACATGATAATGCATGGTAGCAGTGTATTAAGCTGATTTAACAATGACTTGAAAATATAAAAACTATTAAAGAATGATATTTTCAGGCATGAGAACGTGAGTGGATTTTACAGAGTGTCGGCCTACTTTTTCTCCAAGATTATCTGTGATGTTATACCTATGAGACTGATTCCAGTTATCCTGTTTTCAGTTGTCACATATTTTATGTTGGGTAAAGTAGAATATTAAATTTAGAGTGAAATTCAAGGGTTTTCTCTTTATAATGAAATCTTTTTTATCCTTGTCTCCTCCCAACTTTAGGTCACCTTGAGTTGACATGCATTTTAGAATAGATCAGCTTTAGGAAGGAAAATAACTGAGCCATTCCAAGAAGAAACTGTATGGGAGGATTAGAGGCAGTTTTTTTCTCATAGCCTTCACTCTTAAAATCACTTTATCCTACAATCAGCTAATTATTGTACAAATAACATATATACCAATGTATTTTTATGCCCCTGCCTTAGGCGACGGGGGCTTCAAGTGTTACCCTTGAGCTTCTGTCTTTCTGTCCTTCCATTTTTTTGTCTCTGTCCATCCCATTTTCATTGCAAAGCTTGAGCAGGGGCATTCGTGTCCTCATACACATTCTTCTTTTATTGCTTCTTTTTGTTCCTATACAAATACATTCTCCTATCCATTTTTTGTTTGAAGAGCCTTATATCATGTCATAAGCCAGGAAAAATCAGTTAAAGGTTATTTTAATGATTAGGGTTAAATCAATTTAAGTGTAGCCAGGGTTTATATAATTGTTTATCGCTATTTAAGAAATTTTCCTTTGATCTTACTGACTGATAATTTCCTTTCTCAGCACAGTAGAGTGATATGAAAAATTATCGCTAGAAACTAAGGGCACACATGCTGTTGTCAATAAAATTAACAACGTCATCATAGGTAAAATAGCGTTAAACAGATTATCATTGGTCATCTCAACTTGATTGCTTTTCTCACTTTCGCCGTACCGGCTCAAGCGAGAAAATCAATCTCGTTGAGATGACAAACGATATTCTATAAATCCAAGAATAAACACACCAGTGATATGATTAGGTTTTCAGCAAATATTTCTACACACACTTGTTTTCTTGCACATCCTATACTACAGTATGTATTCCCCTGCCACTGAGACCAAGCTACCGGGTACTACATACCAAGTCTGAAATGATTGATATACAGTAAATTCAGAAATTTTTTAGTGCATTTTTTTTGTGATTTTTTAAGAATGGATAAAAGTGCCAAATTTTTATTACCGGTATTGAGATTTCTGAAGGCTGTATGCAAATTGTGCTTTCAAAATTTCAAATGCATTTTATTTTAAGATGCTTATTCAGTCATAATTTCTGTGATAATAAACAAAATCACAAAACTGCTTGAATTTACTGTTAAACATTTTCAAATAGTTTATATTTTCTACCCTTTTTTGCAGGTTTTCAAGTAGCTGTAGACAAATTTTTCCTGTATGTCCTGTCATTGTTTTTGGTAGCCATGTCTGCATCAGGAATTGCTTTCTTCTTCAGTGCCACTGTTTCAATATTTGCTGTTGCTAACTTGTGTATTGCTCTCACATATGTTTTTATGATGGTAAGATTTCACTTATATATTTTTTGTTGTCAGTGTTAAATTTGATTGTCAAGAAGGATAACTTGCTCTTAAGATGGATGCCACTTTTGGGACTTAATGGTGTCGCAGCTGTTCTTTGACAGCTTCATAATCTCTCAGAAACTATCATCAGAAGCTAATAAATGTTCCAAATACAAAGTATTAATATTTGACACATTGCTATGATATTAGACCAATAAACATTTTCTTTCACAATACAATGTATTTTTATCCTCTTCATTTAAGAGAGGCGGAAGATACCAAAGGTACGTTCAAACTCATAAGTTGAAAACAAACTGACAAAGCCATGACGAAAAACGAAAAAAAGACTAAAAGACAAACAACAGTAAATAAAACAAAACATAAAAAACTAAAACTGACCAACACGAACCCCACCAAAAACGGGGGTGATATCAGGTGCTGTGAAATATGTAGAAATCTTATTTGCTTCATATTTCATGCTTAAACATTTTACCTTATTAGATATGAAATTAAAAACTTACTCACACTGGTTTTTGTCTCGCCTTGACGGAGTCAAAAAGCGAGACATAGGTATGCTGTTTCCGGCGTTGGTGGCGGCGTCAACAATGTATTAGTTTGTGATTAGGTCTAGTTCATGGTGAACCACTAGTGGTAGGTCAATGATATTTGGTATGCAGTTGTATAAGCATTGGCACATCTCATTACCATGTAGATAATTTGGCCCCGCCCCCTCAGTCAAGGTCTATTGACTTTGAAACTTTTCATAGTTTACATGTATTAGTTTGTGATTAGGTCAATTTATGGGGAACCACTAGTGGTAGGTCAATGATATTTGGTATGCAGTTGTATAAGCATTGGCATATCTCATTTCCATGGGATTATTTGGCTCAGCCCCCTTAGTCATGGTCTATTGACTTTGAAAATATTGCTTAGTTAACATGTATTAGTTTGTGATTAGGTCAGTTCAAGGGGAACCATTAGTGGTAGGCCAATGTTAATTGGTATTCAGTTGTATAAGCATTAGCACATCTCATTTCAATGGAGAATATTTGGCCCCATCCCCTCAGTCATGGCCTATTGACTTTGAAACATTTGCTTAGTTTACATGTATTAGTTTGTGATAAAATCAGTTTAAGATGAACTGCTAATGTTAAGTCAATGATATTTGGTATGCAAATTGATTGGCATTTGTAAGTATTGTTTCAATAGAGATTATATAGCTTCACCCCCTCTTCATGGTTCATTGACTTTGAAACTTTTACATAGTTTACAAGTTAATGTTTGTGTTTAGGTTCGTTTAAAGGGAACAACTTATAATAAGTCAATTATATTTGGTATACAGTTGTATTAGCATTGACGCATCTCATTTACATGGAGATAGTTTAGCCATGTACCTCAGTCATGGTTCATTGACTTTGAATATTTGCATAACTTACATGTTAAAGTATTGCTATTTTAATTTCAACATTTGCATTATCAAAATTACAAAAAGGCGAGACATATCTCTGTGATAACAGTTTATGATTTGTTTCTTCTTCATTTATTTCTCAGAATTACAGCAAACTATATGTTTTTTTCTTGAAATAATAGAGTTTTGTATGGTTTACACATCATCTTGATTTCATTTGCTTGATTTTTGAGTGATTCACACAAAATGATTAATGCACCTCTTCTTTTTGCTTGCTTTGAGATGTTTACAGATGAGTTTTTAGGGGTTTACACATACTAATTACTTAATATCTGTTTCCACCTCAGGTATTTAGTGGTTTACTGGTAAATGTATCCTCTGTTCCATCATGGTTACAATGGCTGAAATGGGCAAGCTTATTTAGATATGGTTTAAATGTAAGTATTGTTTATGTAGTATTTTATGTGTCAGATGGAACAACATCTAGGCTGAATAAGGCATATGTTTGATGGTCTTTTCATGCTTCATTCGTGATCGTTAATTTGCATAGAATTTCACTCAAACCTGTGCTAGGGGCTGTCTTAAACTTGCAGTGAGGTGAAAATTTTATTACTCCATATTGAAAACCTCACTGTGACTTTGAGATGAAAAACAGTAATAAAAGCGCTGTTCCTTTGCTTTTTGTGTTTTATTGCTGTGCATATACTTATTTTGTGTCATGGATGGATACCCATATCCTTTCTTTTCTATTTAATTGACCATTTTCAAAGTGACATAAGGTTACATATCTTTCAATGTAAGTTTACATCAATGAGTACAGGAGCAACTGAGTAAAGTAGTTATGTTTAAAAGACTTTCCATGTTAAACTAGATATAGTTTAAGTTGACATCTTAGTCCAATAGCGTAAGATATAGGATCATGTTAACTTACAAGGAATTGGTTCAAGCTATCATCCAAATAAAAATAAGGAGATGCGGTATGATTGCCAATGAGACAACTATCCACCAAAGTTCAAAGGAAGTGGATGTAAGCAATTATAGGCATCCTTACCCTATACACCAATCTCCAGTTGTGTTTTATGAATGATTTACACCGGTTGATCCAAGGTCAATCAGGGAAACAACATCATTGAGCAATCTGTTCTAACTGTGACGTAATAGCATAAGTATTGTGACATAGGAAATTTATGGGAAAGTGCATGAATTTGAAAGTCATCTATTGTCATTGCTATCTGGATTTGCATATTGTATACATTCTATAGGATTACATCAAAAGATATCTATTGAGTATACTTCACGAAAGTAAACAGATTTAGTAGTAAACCACTATTGATTTAAAATATAATGAAAATTATTAATCTCCAAATACAGAGCGGATAGTATATTGCAATCATCTCGTCTATCCATCTGTCACTTTTGTTATGTATTACTATGCCTCATCAGATGTCTCAAATTTTGACCATTTTGCTGAAAAATTGTGAAATGAGAAAATTCCAAAGTCATGAATTATACATATGAAGGATTCTATGTACCGGAATACAATCATTAAAAATTGAAAAATGGAACTGATGAGTTGCTGAAATCCAGTTTATTTGAACTCTGTTTGATAGTTCTGCCATAGGTTATCATACCACATCTTATTTTATAACGATTGTTTATAACATGATTCCTAAAATCATTTAAAACTCCTGCCTGTTTCACACTTTGGCTACATAAAAAATGGTGAAAAATTTTATATGTAAAGTTTGAAATGACGGCCCTCCACCCATTATTGGAACTAGTATATTGATAGAGAATGAATCTGTTAGTGAATGAGAACTTGACTTTAGACTTGTTTGATTTATTTAGGTAAGAGAATTTTAACTTTGAGCTGTGAGACATACATGTTGTATCGGCATATCTAATAAATGTTCATGTATTATAGGCATTGGATATAAATGAGCTGAAAGACATGACCTTTTCAAATGGTACAGCTACATGGTAAGATACAAAATAAAGAACATTTATATGTGTAACCATCAATAGTAAAGAAAAAAACATGATAAGATGCTTCAGTCTGAAAGATTTTCATCAAGCCATATATTGTATTCAGAGACAAAACTTTTAGTGACTTGACTAAGCTAGTCATGCCTTTACTTAAAATATAACAGCTCAGAATAATTTATAAAAAAAAATTACAAACATGCTTCTTCATATTTTTTTTTCTTTTCTGAAAGCTAACAAATAAATTTCTATATGAAAGGACAATGTACAATTTGAATATAAAAATCAGAAGATTTGGTATGATGCCAATGTGACAACTCTCCACCAGAGACCAAATGATGTAGAAGTAAGCAACTATTGGTCACCTTATGGTCTTTAACAATGAGCAAAATCCATACGGCATAACAAGCTATATAAAAGACCCTGAAAGGACAAATATAAAACATAGAAAACTAACAGCCTTAATAAAGTTAATTATATACAAGACAATAAATGAAAAACAAATATGATAAACAGCAACAAACTACAACTACTGAATTACAGACTCCTTACTATGGACAGATACATATAGAAAGTGGAGCTTTTTGGCCCACAAATTCACAACAACAAAAAAATTGCCAATAAAAAATTTTTAGTATCAAAAGAACAACTTTTTAGAAAAAATGAATATTAGCTTAACCTTGATGACACTGGTGAATAGATAAATGCAAAATACACTTATGGTTTAAATATCTTTTTGGGAGACAGTTGTGCTCTATATTATTTCTAAGCATGTGTAAGTCAAATTATCAATATTTTGTATAATTTTGTCATTTTACTGAATTTACTTAAATTTCATGGCTATATAACACTTAAAACACAAAAACACTTTGGTTTTATCAAAATACATACATTCAACATTTAATTCTGAATTTCTGCAATATTTTGAAATATCTTCATACCTTGGTTATTTGCATTTTTAGAATGAAGCATTCTGGATAATTTTTTATACCCCATCATAGGAGATAGGACTATTTTACATTCACATTTTTGCAAAAAAATCTTTTGGTATGTCATAAATTAATTGAATTGCTGATTGATATACATCAATTCAACATTTACAAAAAAGTCATTGACTTTTAAATATTAATTTTATCTTTGTCCATTAACTGTTAATGGAAGTTAGAATTGCCATGTCTGCCAGATTTTTTTTAATTAGTGTATTATTCTCTATAAGATTTGTTACTTGTTTATGTTATCCATTCTTAAGATTACATTTCTGTTTGCAGCTCAGTAACTGGTAATGACTATCTAGTTGATCAGAACATTCCTTACAAAACAAGCTGGGATTTTTGGCAAAATATTGTTGCGCTTGTGTCCATGTCAGTGATCGCCATGTGTGGTACATACATCCAGTTGAGAAGAATGAAGAAATTAAGATAAAGATCTTACATTTGAGAACACATGACAGATTGTTGCTAGTACCAAACCAAGATGTGTTTCTGTGTGATGACAGAGTTGTGACCCTTAATAAGTGTTATGGTTTAGTTATCATGAAACTAACATAAATTTTGAAATTTTTGTTAGTTATTGGCTAGTTAGTTGGGAAAAAAAGAAATGATTTATTGTGACATTATTTTAGAAATTAAACATCCTAGTTTTCATTTTTTACATAAACAAATGAACAGAGCATGTATAGATATTACATCGTATAGCATATAATTATGGATCATTGATTTTTACATGTGTTGTATATAAGATTTCAAGTTTCAAATTTTTATTTCCCAAAGACCATAAAGAGGTTTGTGAATAGTACAAACAAACTAATATTCAAATATAACAAAGTAACAAAGTAATGCAGTGATCATTATAGTTAATCATTAACAAATATACAATATATATATTCAATTTTAAGGAAGACTCATTACCATATATACATGTACAAGAAGTAATCAATTTTAAGGAAGACTCATTAACATATATACATGTACAAGAAGTAATAAATTTTAAGGAAGACAGCCAAATTAGATTATAATTGATTCCAGCCTAGGTAACAAATAAGAAAAAGTCTGGTCCTTGAATTAGTGAAGCGAAGTAAGTGGATCTCTCCTGCTTTAGTATCCTGTTTAGCTAAAAATGTTTAGCTTGGCTTATGATAAAGTGAATACCATCCATACAGCCCCTTCATTTAAGGTTTTCAGACATTATTTTTTAAGCCATAAATCAGATTTTTACCAAAATTGGTTAGATAGTGTCCGGCAGGGAAATGAAAGCCCTTTAAATTTTGAGATAAGGGGTAAAAGCTGTAATAATTGTGACTTTACTGTGAGTATTACCATCTTAAGCAATCAGTTATTATTTTTAATCCAATTTTAGTTTGTAACATTCAACCATACTGATCAATTGGTCAAATATATTAAGCAACTAATACATAAGTCATCACCAAGTTAGCATTGTAAGTAGAGAAAGTTAAAAAGTAAAATAAATTCTATCCTAAAGAGGTGACTTGACAGTAGCTTACTTATTTTCAAATCAGATGAAAGGCAAGATTCATAATATAGATATGCATTTATATTTCTTTTTGCTTTACAAAAATTGAGCTCAGTTATAAATAAAATCAAAAACATTCTGCTTGCAAACAATAAAGTTCTGATGAAGAGACTGGCATGACCAGTGGAAAGTTCTGGTTTATTTTAAAGAGTTTTTGTTATATATGTGTATATTGACAATCATACCACATCTTCTTATTTATATAAGTAAACTCAAGTCAAAGGTACTGTTCTGGAACACACACATATAAGTATTTCAATATATTTTTATAGATTTTTATCCATGTGAAAAATATATGCCAGTAGATATTATTAATCTTGCCATAGTGATGCAATAAATATTATAAAAATTATAAAACATAATAAAGTAATAGCACTTCCAGAAATAAACCTCATTAGATCCTACAATCAAACTGAAAGAATCTGTGTTTAAGATTCTCCCTTATGAAACAATCATTCACAACTGTTATGTTTGTCCTGTTTGAGCCTCACAATCTTCTTCATTGGAAATCATTCTATCTACTACTACATGATAGTGTCTCCTAATTACCATAGTGAAAAATAGTTTGACGATTGGACACTTCATGATAGTAGTAGGTAGAAAGCTTTAGTGCAGCTATGAAATATATTAAAAGTTGATAAAGCCTTCCATGTATTATACCCCAGGGAAAAAGTTCCATAAGGGTATAATAATTTTGACCTGTCCGTCCGTCAGTCTTGTTCTTATCACTTGCAACAAAGAATTTCATGAAACTTTGTAGTTAATTAGGACATACTAGGTAGATGTGCATATGGACAGGAAATTATGATTTAACATTTTTTCTAGGAGGTATGCCCTTTGAACTAAGAATTTTAGCCTAAATATACAACTGCAAACATTTTTTATCGCAACTCCTCTGAAACCACATAATGGAATTTATGAAACTTTGTATATAATAAGGACATTATATGTAAATGTGCATATCCACAAGAAATTTCTATCATTTGACCTTTTTAGGAGTTATGAGTCTTTAAACTTGGGAATCTGGTGAGATTTTGTTTGCACAGTGACAATGTAGGGGTGTGAGGTATGTGAGAATACTCACAAAGGTGTTTTGATATGTCTCTTGTTAAAATGGACCCCAGTAATCGTAACTGTATAAATGTCTCAATGTATCTTACTTTCAAATAATAATTTCCCTAAGTACATGTATTCTATATTAATATACAGGGATAGTTGATTGAAGCTGTAGATTATAAATAGCAAACGCACAATAAATTTATGTTAATAAAAAGTTTTTTTTGTGAATGAGAGTGAGGCTTATACAATTGTGAAAAGATTAATAACTTAACATTTACAAACTGAAACATTACAGTGGCAATTTGAAACAATCAGTTGAATAAATCATAAACTTAACAATCAAAATCAGTATTCTTGCCAATTATTGTTGTGTTCAAAGTTTTGCATTTCATTATTTATTAATTAATGACTAAACTTGCATAATTATTAACTTGTGATTTTTATTCATGTTTTTTTTATACATATACTTCCTTGTTTTACTTTATTTTTTAATACCAGTGCCAAATTAAATGATAATGAAAAAGTCCAATGACAAGTTTCATCGTGTTTCATCTCTTTGTGTCACAAATTTAGCTTGTGAAGAAAGTTCAGTACATTGTATTTGAATGTAAAATATAAGGAAATACAATGACAATGGTTCATGTTTACATTGACCACTGTCCTATTTAAACAAATCATGGTATTGCTACTTACAAAAGAATCAACTTGTAATATTCTGTAGTGTTGAAAAATTTCACAATTGATTTATTTGTGGTAATTTCATGATTAAGAACAAAGAAAAATAAAAAATATTGAATGGTTCCTTAGTAAAAGGTATATGAGAGGACTCATAGCTGGCAAAAACTGTAATTTTTGAATTTACAAACTGTTTACATTGTCAATTGAAAATGTTGTTTCTTTTTCTTTGTTCTTAGTTTTCAACTGATTATAATTTTTTTATATTATTTCACTTGATGAATATTATAGTAAATAACATGCAGAAATATATATAATTAATAAAGAGAACAGATATCTTGTTAAAATTACTCTTTACTTACTGAAAATAGTCAACCAAAGGTACAAAAATGTGGACAACCGAATTGTGAATCTTGTTATATACTTATTCGAAGGAACAGAATTAGTTTTTAAATCCAGACATATTTTTAAAATCAAGAACAGTTTTACATATGCATTGGAAGACCTTTAATGTATCATAACTTGCAGTGGTGGTCAAGAAAATTATATTGGACAAACCAGCAATACCATTAGAAAACTAATGACAGTACATAGACAGCAAATTAGAGTCCCAAGTACAAAAAAAATCTCACTTAGCAAACATATTGATTTATGCGCTGGATCAAATCATCTATATTGTGACTTTCACTTTTGTTTTAAGTACCTACGTTGTACTATTTTATTGTTCAGGATTTAAGGTAGATTCACTGTATACTGCCATCTTGGATTGTACAATACCAGTACACAATCGGTCTAGTTCTTAGCCTTACAAACCTGTTCGTGCATTTTTCATTGTTATTCAAAGGAAAATAATTATCTAAGATACCTGGGACGATCTCACTACACAAAAGATCTCTTTTGTTTACTTATTGTACCTCGAACTTATTAACCCGGTGTAGGTCTTTAAGTTGCAGGTTTTTTTTACTAAAAGTCAATCAGGCATGACTAATAAGACACGCCCTCTTAAAATCGGGGGGTCCAACATAGGATAGGGTAAAAAAATGAAATACCATTATGTACAATTTCGGAGAAATAAAGTGCTTTTGGTTGATTTAATATCTCCGGTCAATAATCAAACAGTATTTGAGTGGAAATACAAAATGTCCGAAACCGGGAAATGCAGGCTGCAAAAGGAATTTATTTTCAAAATAAGTCCATATCTCAATTTCTTACAGTGGCCGTTATTGATTGTGAATTCATATCGTTTCGTTTTTTGGCATTTGTCTACCGGAGAAAAAAAGGTGGGAGGGGCTCATAACTTAACTTACGATTTTGATCTTGGTTCAACTTTATTCTATTACGGCATACATTTTACCTCTAGTCAACGCTCCATCTTATTAAAGTGATGCTCTAAAATTGTTATGATTTGCTTAAGTTTGATCCACTTTACATCTTGTCGTAAATATGCATGACATATTTGCCACTGGACATCAAGGGAGCAATTTATTAATCAGCACCATTAAGTGGTACACAATCATTAGTCTTCAGTTGATAGTTATCTCAGGCAGTTTACCACTATTTATAAATTTAATTTTCAAGCGTTAATTTCAGCATTTCTTTCCTTATTTTTCTCTTTGCATTTAATCTTTTTGAACATAAAATAACGTAGTCCACATTAGGGGTTATATTATATCTTATCCAACCATACTTGGAGGAGGGGAGAAGAACAGAAAAAAAATCTGCATTGAGTGGCAATCAATCATAAGCGTACAACGACGGCAGTCACTAAAGTGAACCGATCTAGTTTAAATCGATCTAAATGTCCTAGTGTGAACGGGGTCTAAGTGGCAAAATTTGCTGTTTCAAGTTTTTTTTTATATCTGGTATAATAGTTGTTATAAAACCAGCCGAACATCCAAACTGACACACCCCTTTAGCAAGGGTATACTGTCGGACTGGAGAGATCCAGAGATGTCAATATTTCTATACCCAAGTCAAGCCGTTGGATTTGAATAAAATGAGATAAAGGTATACATTAATGTGGCAGCTACCCAACGACACAGAAAAATCAAAATACTAAGAGTCAAGCACGCGGCCCTTTCCGCGGTGAATACACTTTTTCAGCAGGTGAATATGCTTTTTTATTCAAAATCCAACTCATATAGAAAACCCTACTAAAATTCTATCAATATGGAATAATAAATGAATATTCAGGACAATTACATGTAAATATAATATGAGTATTAACCCTGCTTTGTACTAGATCGACACGCTGAGCCAGTTTTTTACGCGTAAGTTCACATGAAGATATCATTTCGCAGGAAGAATAGTCACCCTACCCGGAAACATTTCTGGCTCCGAACCGACAAGTCTGTGCTCTTACTTTCAAATACTGCTAGTTTAGCGTTGAAACAGCAAATACGTGTACCATTGTTTACGTCTTTGTAGGACCCGGTCGAGATTCGAACCACGACCTCCCGATCTCGAGGAGAACACACACACGAAACAAATAAGGAGAGCGATAGTATAGAATATCATACCAAAAACTAATGTACAGAGATAAATAAAATACAGTTTCACAAAAATTTCATAGTTACTAAAGTGGTGATAAAAGTACCAAACCGAAATTAGAAATGTTAAATTATTTTAGAAACTACACGTAAATATGGATGGCCGACTTCTGAATAGATTTCATGGATCAACCCTCTCTGCAAATTCACTATTTTTGCACCAATTATTTAAGGGGTTCGGATGTGGCCAGCTGTTGCAAGGCTTATTTCTGTCTTTATTCAATATATCCTCAGTTTTCAATGATATTCCAATTTTCACGTCCTACCTCAATGTCTACATCCTATTGCAAGATCTACCTATTGTATTTAAAATTCATGTGTTCTCGTCATGAACATGCATGAAATATTTGCCACTGGAGGTAAAGCAAACAACAATCAACCAACTCCATATTTTATTCTATGTACATAGTACACGAAGACAAGATCTTGTAAAATGTTATTATGTAAAATTTCCATTTGAATTACTCAATGATAGTGCAAACTTTTTTTTATGGTTTTGCAATTTACTACATAACTAAACACCTATACTTTTTTAATGTTTTTACTATGGTTCTTATCTACGATTTGATTGCGATTTATGATATAAGGTTTTGTCAGGCGATTATAAAACTTAGAAAGGTTAAAGGCTGTTTTCAAGTTGTTTGTTTATACTACATTTAGATGTGAAAAGGGAATGACGGACGATTAAAATAAAAGTGTTTGTTTTCACATAATATATTGTATTTCAATTTAAGAATGATTATCAACCTTGCGAAAATATTCCATCTATTCACGTTTTGATCGAGCTAGGTATGATTGCTACTGAGACAACACTCCACAAAAGACCAAATGTCACAGAAATTAACAACTATAGGTCACCGTACGTCCTTCAACAATGAACAAAGCCCATACCGCAAAATCAAACCTAAAAATACGATTTATTAATTAATTGGACTGAACAGACAACACTAATTATCTTGCATTTGCATGAAACGTAGTGTAGGAAAATTTAGAATCAAAACCAAAAATAACATTTACCTGAATATTGTGAAGGACCTTATGCATCTAGGTCTGTTCGATTAGAAGTTGTGAAACATGGTCCTATCTTAATGCTAAAAAAATATAATAAATAAATAATTAAATGATGTAATGCCATTTAATCGGTCCGTTTTGAATGCAATTAGGTAACTGTTATTTGTCCATATCAGTCTGAGTACTGTTAAACTATCATTTGTGTTGAATATATTTAGACTCGACCAATTCAGGGGAATAAGGTGTCTGCAAGTGTTTTTAGTGTACTTTTCTAATGTTTTTGACGGTTTGTAAGTCAGTAAAAGATCAATGATCAAGTTAATATTGACATTAAAAGACCTCCTCACAAAAAGGGCTGTTCAAATCCCCTCGCCCTTCGGGCTCGGGGATCTCAACATCCCTTTTTGTTCGGAGGTCTTTTAATATCAATATTAACTTATCATTGAGCTTTTACTATTACTAAATCTGCATATTTTGAGACAGATTTTCGAACTGTTTATTTGTATAAAGAAAAATAAGTGATTTATTGCATTATATAAAATGTTTAAACAAATAACAAATATTTGTGTTTTTAAAAATAAATTTTTCAACTAAGATATTTAAGGGGAGATAACTCTAATAGTAAAAATTTTATACTGGAATGATAGTGAAATTTTCATTTTTTACTTGTAGCAAGAAAACAAGTTTGGTGACACTATTCTAAGCTCACCAAGGAAAGGTGAGCTTTTGCCATCACTTGGCGTCTGTCGTCATCCTGATGGTGTAAACTTTTTATATCTCAAAAACTAAAGCATTAAGAACAAATCTGACATGGGGTAAAAATGTTCATTAGGTCAAGTTCTATCAGTCCTGAAATTTTCAGATAAATCTAACAACTCATTGTGGGGTTGCTGCCACTAAATTGGTAATTTTAAGGAAATTTGGCAGTTTTTAACCGGATTTTTCGAATGATTTGGGGATATACGGCGGCTGGGTGGGCAGGCAGGCGGGCGGGCAGGCGGCTGCCAAACAGTGTCCGTTCATTAACATGAAAACGCTTTGACAAAATTTTTTCAAATTTAGATATGTTGTTTTCTGTGACTAATTGAAGGTCAAGTTCAATTTTCACGATTTTAGCTTTTCTCCTGGTTGAGTTATAGCTCTTTCCCAAGAATTAAATTTTTGATGAATTATCCCATTTCTGTACAAAGGGAAATTACTCATTTTTATACGACCGCAAACAATTTTGCAGTCATATATTGGTATCACGTCGTCGTCCGAAGACATTTGGTTTCTGAACAATAACTTTAGTATATGTAAATAGAAATCTATGAAATTTAAACACAAGGTTTATAACCACAAAAGGAAGGTTGGGATTGATTTTGGGGGTTATGGTCCTAACAGTTTATGAATAAGGTTCCAAAAAGGGGCCCAAATAAGCATTTTTCTAGTTTCCAGACAATAACTTGTGGAAAGGTGTATGGATCTCTCTGAAATTAGACCACAAGTTTCCATACCACAAAGGGATGGTTAGGATTGGCTTGGGGGGGGGGGGGGTTATGGCTCAAACCATTTAGGAATAAGAGGCAAAAAAGGGGGAAAACAAGGGACAATTACTTAAAAGTACAATGTTATGTTTGGATTACCTCCCTTACACTGCTTTTAAATTATGTATAAAGAAATGTTGTATTGTCTTGAGGTGATTAGCTGCCAGTTTATTTTTAGAAGTTACTTTTAAAAATGCTGGCTAAGGAATATTAATTTTAGCCATGATTATGTATGTCATTTTCTATTTTAAGACTTTTATG